ACAGTGATAAGGAAAAGCCAGGGGTCAGGGATGCCAGAAATCAGGGAAGTCAAAATCAATGTCAAAGTCAAAATACCAGAATAACCAGAATCAATAACGTGCTCTCGGACAACCACAAGGGAAACCACAACAGGGCACAGCAAGAGGAGAACTGAGCCTAAATACCCCACCTGTGGATCTGATTGGTTGTAACCGGCCTTTGACCCCAAAAGGCAGTTATCAGGTTCCTATTTGCATGATTGCTGCTCAGCACAAACTTTTCCTGTCAGAACAGTAAATGTCATTAATAAAATTTTTATGTGCAGATGAATACGTGACAGTATTCAATTGGAGGACCCCCATAGGTTCAGATTGTACTAGGACTTCATGCAAAGCTTGAATCCCTTCTTCATGAGGGATGACAGTGTACAAACTGCGTACATCCATGGTGATCAATATTGGTTTATTGTCACTGTATTAAATAGCTTTGATATTGGTCAAATAAAAAAATAAAAAATCTGAAAATCATGGTAGGTGTAGTGGCTTACAGTAATACACTGCTCAAAAAAATTAAGGGAACCCAAAAATTACACATCCTAGATCTGAATGAATTAAATATTCTTCTGAAATACTTTGTTCTTTACATAGTTGATGTGCTGACAACAAAATCAAAATGCAGTCATATGTACTTATGATTTTGGACACAGTATACACCATATTCTATTTTTGTCTTACTATTACACAAGGTTTTGAGAATCCTTGTACTGTATACATCAGTCCTCACTTATTTTTTGTATTATAGAGAGTGCCTATAAACTCTTGTTTTTTCTCAATGCTGAACATAGTTTATATGTTGCCATGGTTCCCGAGCGGCATACGTGGTATAGCATGCCCACACATGCGTGGTACACTGGGGGAGATGCTGGGAGCAATGCAGGACAGTTGGGGTAAGTCAATTCATTAGTACAGGGGTAAATATTTCAGCAGTTTTGTATGTGTAAGCATTGTATGTTTTGATCCTGAAGAAAGTCCCAGGAGAGACTGAAACGTTGATAATTTTTATTTTTGTTTACTTAATAAATATTGGAATTATAAAGACCGGAGTGCAGCCAACTTTATATTTGGATTAAACATTCTGGGATTGTTATTATAATCATGTACTCTTATGCCTCGTTTCCACTGAGAGGACCGGTTCGGGTCGGTACAGTTTGGAAGGTTTAGAATGGTCCAGCCCATTCTGGTGAGCGTTTCCACTGCAAGCCAGACCTTCAGGGGCCATGCAGGGTTTAGAAAAAATACTCTTCCTGTCCACCAATCAATGGATTGTATAGTAGCTCCGCCCTAACCAAACCGTTCCATTTCCTATGGCCCTACATCTGAAGCAGGACCGGTACGGTTCGCTTATATGGACCAATTTCATAATGGAAACACCCAAAATAGCAAACCGTATCGAACCGAGCCGATACACTCAGTGGATTCTGACTTATGGAAAAATATTTCTGCACCTTCACTTCAAGATTCTTAAGAGTAAGTAGACATGAAGTGCTGCTTCGTACAGTGGGATTGGCATACTCCGGTTGCTAGAGAGACGCGTCCTGACTCACGTGTTAGAAGTACTCCACATGCCGTCAGCGGTCCTATGGGCGACCAATAGCCGAACGCTATCGGCGGCTGCCCGAGCAACGCATTGACACCGGATATACTTCGTGTGGGGACAGACCATGCCTATGACATGTGGGGAATCACTCAGGTGATCTTAATATGCACCCGAACTCCGGAGCAGCCAGACCAACCTACTTGACGAGCAGCTGGGGGTGGTGAGTAATTAACTTACTTGTTTGTTTTGTATAGAAGTCAGTCATTTGTATGATCATGTCCTGAGGAAATTTCCAAACTAGGAACTGAAATGTTGACATTCGTGACAATAAAGCCTACTTTCTCTATTATATATATATATATATATATATATATATATAGATAGATAGATAGATAGATATATAGATATACACTGCTCAAAAAAATAAAGGGAACACAAAAATAACACATCCTAGATCTGAATGAATTAAATATTCTTCTGAAATACTTGAATGTGCTGACAACAAAATCACACAAAAATAAAAAAATGGAAATCAAATTGTTCACCCCATGGAGGTCTGGATTTGGAGTCACACTCAAAATTAAAGTGGAAAAACACACTACATGCTGATCCAACTTTGATGTAAGGTCCTTAAAACAAGTCAAAAGGAGGCTCAGTAGTGTGTGTGGCCTCCATGTGCCTGTATGACCTCCCTACAACGCCTGTGCATGCTCCTGATGAGGTGGTGGATGGTCTCCTGAGGGATCTTCTCAGCATATGCCAACTCCTGGACAATCTTTGGTGCAATGTGACGTTGGTGGATGCAGGGCCAGATTAAGAGCCCACTGGGCCTGGTGCTGACAATTATGATGGACCTATTTACAGAATCTTATCGACCAAAAAGATTAAAACATTCATACCTCCAAAGCATCATGTATCTGATGGAGATGGTGTTAAGCTATACGAAAACACATACTCAATGCTAATCGCTCAAATTTATGCTTTCATCTTTCAAGTAAATCCATATCCCATAACAGCAGTGTCCAGTGAAGCAGGAAGTCAATGTGCAGGGTAAAAGAGTGCGCCACTGGCGCGAATCATGTGACCAGACCTGCCAAAAGGAGTGAACATGCCCAAAAAGGGGGCATGTTTGTCCAAAGAATTGGAAGGCCAGCCTGGTATGAATGCATGTCAAACTGCCTGCCAACAGGCTGTCCAACTAAGGGCATACTATGCAGGCAGCACTCTGAGCTTGACATAAATGCATCAAATGATGCGCCTACTCCACGCTTTCTAAGGACTGTCTCCTAGCACTCACATGTCCACTTGTCTCCTTATCTTCTTACTAGCAGGCAGAAGTTCCTGGTATATAGTCTGGGACAGAGAAAAGATGTATGTAGGTAGCGTAAGAAAGGGGACATGCCACAGTGTTAGAGAGACCAACGTCTGCATTACCTAAACTATTTTTATTGTCAGCCAGTCCACACAGGTTTTGTTCCCATGCATCCCTCTTAAGCTTCCAAACTTAAAGGGACACTATAGTCACCAGAACAACTACAGCTTATTGTATTTGTTCTGGTAAAAATAATCATTACCTCCAGGCTTTTCGCAGTAAACACTGTCTTTTCAGAGAAAATAACTCTGATGGCCACTCCTTAGATGGCTGCTAGAGGTGCCTCCTGGGGCAGTACTGCCTAGTGTGCAGCACTGCCATTCAGTGTCTCCACTCTCTGCATGCAGACACTGAACTTTCCTCACAGAGATGCATTTAACCCCTTAAGGACACATGACATGTGTGACATGTCATGATTCCCTTTTATTCCAGAAGTTTGGTCCTTAAGGTGTTAATCAATTTATCTTCACGAGGAGATTCTGATTGGCCAGGGCTATATTTGACTTGTGCTGGCTCTGCCCCTGATCTGCCTAGTTGGCAGTCTCAGCCAAATCCTATGGGGAAGCATTGTAATTTGCTCAGACCACCACTTCCGATGATGTCAGCAGACAGAGTCAGTTCAGAGGCAGACATGGACAGTGCCAGCAGCTGCAGATTTGAATACAAGTAAGAGTTTACTATATTTAGGGAGGCAAGAGGGGGCAGGGGGGCTAAATGGTGGTTTTAACATAATAAGGAAATAATAAATACATGATTATATTCCTGACCCTATAGTGTTCCTTTAAGCAAGAATATGTGAAGAGTAGTCTGGGTTGCCACCTTAATTGGAAAAAAAAAGAGATAATTCTGTAAAATCACCAACAAACTACTCACAGTTTGATTCTGCTGTATAGATGGATTGTTCCCAGTGTCTCCCTGTCTCCCATTATCTCAGTCTCGCAAGTCACCCAGTCTCTCAGTGTCCCTATGTATCACAGAGTCAGTGTCCCCATGTTGCACAGTCCCCTAGTCTCCCAGTGTCCCCATGTCTCACTGTGTCCCCATGTCACTGAGAGACCCGGGGACATTGGGACACTTGGGGACACTGGGAGACATGGGGCACTGAGACACTTGGGGACACTGGGAGACATGGAGACACTGAGTCACTAGGGACACTGGGAAACATGGGGACACAGACACTGGGAGACTAGCGGAAACTGGGAGCCATGGGGACACTGAGATACTAGGGACACTGAGACATGGGGACACAGACACCGGGAGACTAGGGGACACTGGGAGACATGGGGACACTGGGAGACATGGGGACACTGGGAGACATGGGGACACTGGGAGACATGGGGACACTGTGTCCCTAGTGTCTCCGTGTCCCAATGTCTCTATGTCTCACAGTGTCCCCATGTGTCTCAGTGTCCCCATTTCTCAAAGTATCCCCTAGTGTCAGTGTCCCCATGTGTCCCCTAGTTGCTCAGTTTCCCCAGGTCTCGCAGTATCCCTTAGTGTCTCAGTGTCCCCATTTCTCCCTGCTGCCTTTCTCCCATCCCT